TGCACAAACATCCATTAAAATTGTCAATAGTTTAAAGCCACATTACCCATACAAATTTGACATTCATTAGAGCTTAAAGGCACCATTAAACCTTGATGGACGATTGTGCAATTGACTGTTAGTCCTGTCATTTTTAGTCTCAGTCCTGTCGATGAGGATACTATCGCTAAAATTATAATAAATATTAAAACTAACGCTGAAGGTGTAGATGGTATAACGCGTGATATGACTTTACCAAAAACACTGAAGATTCTGACTGCTATAATCAACCAATCTATTAAGACTGGTGTCATTCCAGATGCTTAGAAGGAGGCTCGCATAAATCCTATTCCCAAAGTAAACAATCCTATTCAGTTAAAAGATCTTAGGCCGATTAGTATTCTTCATTTTATATCAAAAATAGTTGAGAAGGTTGTATGTCAGTTAACAAGTTACTTGAACACAACTATTTTGCCATCCAAACAGTCTAGATTCCAAACTGTCTAGATTTCAAACTGGCCGAAGTATGGCAACAGCCTTATTGGACGTTGTCGATGATATTCTTGCTAGAATTGATGTAGGAGAACGTATCCCGTTCTAGTTCTTCTTGATTTTTAACACGCATTCGATGCTATTAATTATAGTCTGCTTTTATCCAAGCTTTCCTTCTACGGATTCGATGCCCGTGCTTTGAAGTGGTTTTCTAGTTACCCCAGTGGCCGATCACAGTGTGTTTTAATCTGTAGTGAAGATGGAAGCCATGCAGTATCTCGTGCTATTTGTCTGGATCGAGGAGTCCCACAGGGATCAATACTTGGTCTAATTCTTTTTAACATTTATAGTGCCGATCTAGTTGATTGCATTTGAAATTGTAGCTATCATATGAATGTCGATTATTTACAGGTATACTCGTCTTTTAAGCTTCAAGATATATTAACGGCTATATCTGCATTCAAGGAAAATTTGAACTGTATAAATAGTTGGGCTGCTAAAAATTGTTTGATTCACAACCCTCAAAAATCTTAGTTTCTCATTTTGGGCTCCACTTTATAAAAAGATGATATTGGTAACCTTCGCCCAATGATTAGAATTTGAGACATATCTGTAGAACAGGTAGCTGAGGCTAGAAACTTAGGGGTGCTTATGGATAATGGGCTACGATTTCTTACCCACGTTCTTGAGACTGTCAAGGCTTGTTTCACAGGCTCAAAGTCTTGTATCAGGAACGAGACTATTTAGACATTAGTGTTAGGGTCAAACTTTGTGAAGTATTAATATTAAGTAAATTGAACTACGCAGATGTAGTTATAGGTGAACGTCTCTTCGATTATACCAAAAAACTCATACAGCGCGTCCAGAATGCATGTGCCCGATTCTGTTATAATGTTTCACGTAGAGCCCATATTATCCCATATCTGAAAGGGAAAGTTATTGAATATGCAGTCTAGGCGTTCTTTTCACTTTGCTTGTTTATTGTTTGGAATCATTACAACACAGTCTCCCTCTTATCTATTTGGTAAGCTCTCATTCTCACAACGGAAAATTCGACTAGCTTCACGCCTGATTTGTCCAAAACATAGAACGGTTGCATTTCGTGGTAGCTTTCAATATTCCTCCACGAAATGTTGGAATAACATACCTACCCCGATAAGAGGTTGCCATAGTATTGGGAGTTTTAAATTTAATTAAAAAAGAAGTCTTACTGCATCTACAACAGGCTAAAACCTTGTGATTGTGGGCTGCTTTCTAATATCTGCGTGAGTGGGAGCTCTGCGCGTGACTTATTGGAAAATTTATATATGTATGTATTAGTTGTAATAGTTATTTTTATATACTTTTATTGCATTTTTAGTTTATTTTATTTTAAATATTGTTATGAGCGTTGTGAGTGCGGCGTAGTGGTGCTCTCAAGAATTTAAGCTTACCACGGAAGATCAGCGTCGGACTGTCTAAGACATCCGAATTAAATAAAGTGTCACTACAGAAGTGTTGCTTTGCATCTGTAACACGCTGTATGCTTTTTTGCCTTCAAGTATTTTTTCTTCAACGAGAAGCCATCCGATTAAAATTAAATTCGTGTCGGTTAAAAATTTAAAATGCGTCATTTATATTTTTTATAAGAAATTAATAACAGTAATAGCATTATCTCTTCTATATAAAGAAGAAAGATTCGATTAATCTGCATTGAATACTAATCCTACAAACCTATTGGACCTATTTTAAAAATAATTTCAACGCAACATTGGTAATAATTTACGCAGATGTAGAAGTGCGGGAAAATATGTAGTCGTTGATGAGGAGGTATGTTTATTTATGTTATTTTTATTTATTTTATTAATAATTAAAGAACAGTTTTTGTCATATTTTGTAATTGACCGAATTATGTTCTAAAACCATTGCGTTATGTAACACTTAGAAATAAATAACAACAAAAAATTACGATAAATAGATTTCTCATTTAAATTTGAAAAGAAACTTTAAACCAAACATTGCCCAGGTTTTTAAATAAGTTAATTTGGATCTAAAGAAAAAAGATAAGTCAGTGCTTTGACTACATTGGAAAGATGAATATAAGTCTAATAACAAAACAGAAGATAAGGTGAGTGTATCAGAAACCACTTGAATGGGAGATGAATGTTGAGGACGTATTAAAGAAAACTCAGAACAGAAGTAACCTTCTTGTATGAAAATATTATTAGCTTCTGGGTGGAGGAAGCGAGAGAGATGGGCACCAGGATCATGCAAAATGGAAACGTGTGATTTCAGCGTATCCGTCCGGCGAACGGCGTGAAATTGTAAATAGTAAAATTACATGTAAAATAACTCACAAATTTGAGTGTGTAGTTGTAACTTCTCAATAAACATATCCTTTTGCTTCCATTTGACTCCTCACAGCTTTCGGGTCTGGCCATAGTATCATAAGAAGTGCAGATGCTGTAATCAAATATCTCATTTAAAATAGAGCCGTAAACATCTGACACTTGTTTTATTAGCTTTACAAATAATAAAATTGGATTGTCTGTTCTTAATGTTATTATAACCGCTTTATAATAAATGTTATGTTTATAATAATTTTTATCTGTCTCTCTGTTCCGACTAATCTGAAACGGCTAATATCTTGGTGGAACTTTCACTGGCTTACATAAGCCAGTATAAGGAGTTACATAAGCTACTTTCCACGAAAACGAAATCTCGGGCACATCTAGTTGTTATTATTAATTATTAGCAATTCTTATTTTGAAGAAGAAAATAAGAGTGCAGTAGTAGTTTTTCAAAACGTTTTTTTGTCAATAATTGGCTTCCTTTTTGTTTTAATATAGACTTGGAGCAGGAATAAGAACTATCGCGGGATAATCTTGCTTACAAGAAGCCCATTTCCGCTCATCTTTATAACTAATCGGGTATTCAGCCGTTCCTCTAGTCTGATTGTAGTAAAATGATGATATCGATATAAACAGCGTGTAACAGAAAAGTGTAGCGGAACTTTAGGGAGACAATATACAAAAGTCAGAGCAGAGGTAAAGCTTTAGAAATTTTCTTTATAAAATAGGGTAACGTTCTATCGACATCTAAATATCGACTTTAATTGCGCACAGTACTAAACACCTTGGAAGAATACAAATTATTGACGTGGTAAACACTTTGCTATTCTAACTGCATCTGACAAAATCAAATGAGAGGTTTCATATTTCAAGCGCTCACAAAAATACACAAGCGAGCTTATCTAAGCATAGATGCAATACTGAGGTTGCAATACTAAAAGCATGTGTAACGCCCTCAATTGTTTGCTGTTCACTTTAGCATTCAGATATGCACACAAAACTTTTAGTTCAATCCCGAAGAAAAATATCCAACGACGTCAAGTCAAGCGAACACCATTTTGCAAAAGCAATCTCTTGAAGGAAGTCGACTGCGTTCAGCTTCTGTGCGACTTAACTCACTAGATATGATTCTAGCCAACATCTAAGCGAATATTATGATGATATTTCGTTTCATTTTACTACTTTATGTCTTTTGATAGATAATTATGGGACAAATGAGTAAGTCGTTAACTCTACTATCAAATCTTCGTCATTCTTTATTATTAAAGATAGTAAAATGAAACTAACTAGCGCTATGACATCGTTAAGTCATATTCTATGGACTCAGCTTAAAGATAGCGGATAGCGGCTTTGTTTTCTACTATGGATAAAATTTATAAAGCATCGTATACCAGCAGTCAACAGTGTGTTTGACAGCAAAACTTCCACGCAGTTCTTTTGCAGGAAAACACCAAGAAGGTTGGCACCGACAGCTGCTCCCAGACGTCCTGACATATACAGGGTGCACAAGGCCAGAGCCCTGGAAAATATAAGTGACATCATCATCATAAGCCCTTTTACGTCCCCATTGCAAGGGCTTAGTCCTTCCTTATGAACGGTTAAGAGTAATAATAGGTCCTAACTTTCCATGTTGGTCCAATGAGCATTGGAGAGCATTAACGACTGCAAATGCAGCCGGAACCAATAATTTAACATGCCTTTCGAAGCACGGAGGAGCTAAATATATTAATTTTTTGTTCGCCCATACCGTGAGTCTGTCACAGAAAGTTGTTTAACGTTGTTGTTCGAACTAAATTAATTTAAGATTTCTGAGTGGGGTGAAATGTATTTTTTCCCATTTATTAACTTGGATCGCTAACAAGTTTACAGTACATTCATACATACATACATACAAAAAGGACATAAAAAAGTTTGTATAATGTAAATCTATTTCGGCTTGAGATAGGTAACAATAATAAATGGAATATGAGCTACAACCGTTTGTCTCGCAACTTCACCCGCGCCTTCGGCGCCTATTAGATGTAAACAAACATACAATCGAACAAACAAATCTTTCCACTTTATAATACAAAACAACACAAAACCCTTTATTGTCCACGTTACACAATTCATATTAGTGTTGATAACCTGACACTAGTGGGGAAGACCTCAACAGCTATAGCAGCGAGCACTGCTGCCGAGCAACCACTGGCCAGTCCACTAATGAGCAACAGCAGAGCCACCACAAGCTGCGGGACTAGGCTTGAAGCCAACAACATCAGGGAGCATACTATCAGCAACCAACCTGTGCATATCAACATTTGAACTGAATCCTATCCTAGTAGTAACATTAATAAGCATTTCAAATTATGAAATTAAAAGGTTTCATTATTTGAACTGCCAATTAATGTTCCTATTAACGGACAAAAGGCTTTCCCGTGGACATAATGGGTAAATAAAAAATAAATAATAAATGAAACATTACATTGCTTATCGGTGTCGATGATTGAAGTACAATAGAAAGATCACAGAAAAAATGGAGTATGTGTGAACGCCAAGACAGTGAGCATTGAAATATGATTGACATAGAAGGATAAGATACACTGTGCCGACCACTTGACTGTAAACTGAGAAGATATGATGCAGGAAGATAATGATGATGATGGTTACATTATATTTTATGATAGCTTCTGTGTGGCTTGTGAGATTGAAGCCAAGATTGTAAGATATATTTATTGAGATCCAGATTCCGTGTGAATTTTGGCTAAACAAAAATATTTTAATTGGCGAGTGATCTTTAATGTTTTAATAATTGAAATCATTGTATGCTATTATTTATGTGAAGAGAAAATTCTCTCTCAGCATAATTATTATGGAACGCTATGCGACTTCGACACCTACACCGTGTATTTAGTTACACCATGTACACATGTATTTAGTAAAAATAGATTATTTTAACATTATAAAACAGACACTCTAATTGCTTGTATTTACTTTATTTACTTGTATAGATGGACTATACAAGTAAATAAAATTGAAGGAAATAGTATTATTGTAAAGAATCATTACGTAACCTATCCCAAGCGAGTATATGGCAGCTTTTGCTCGATATGGTCGCGTCATCTTTATCTGGAGAATCTTTTTATATTTTATCGTATGGGCAAAGCTTTATACACTGTCTCTACCGCTTGACAGGCGACAAGGGGTGTGCGAGACTCTCTATCCACATATACCCGCTCGAAGGCTAGTCAAAACGTGGAAATATCTACTGAACCACCGCCGATGTACGGTCGGCCAAGAAAGTGGTCTACCAGTTTTGACAACATTTCCCGTGTCTTTCAAGCATCGCTAAAGGCGAATCTTAGAATTGCATACAAACAATAAAAGAGATGCACAATGCTGACGTGTAGTCGTAGAGCACAAATGTTATTTTGACCTTTGCAGCCTATGCATTAGATAATAATTTGCAACAACAAATAGTCTTCACAATATTTCATAAATTTAAAATTTAAGTAGGTCACTTCAAAGTGGAAACTATTTTGTTACGAAAACTCTTTTACTGAAAAAGAATATATCACTTGACAATTCATGTCAAATATTTTCTCGGCATTTTCCGTAGGTATTTTCCTAATTAATTTACACTACAATGCCCCGAAATTTATCCATTAACGAAAGAGCACAAATAATCGCATTACACAATAATGGTTTGAATATTAGTGAGATTTCTAGAGAATTAAATGTGTCGGTAAGTATTATTATGTCTGACGTGAGTTTAATGTAAAATCTCAGACCAAGTCCGAGTGTAAAATTATTTTTTTTTTTCTTATTTTATTTTTGATTATAGAGACAAGCTGTCCGTCTTTGGATAAGACGAGAAAGCGAGGAGGGGAATTTGAACGCTCGGAGTCGTAGCGGTCGTAGACCTGAAATATCAGATACTCAGCGAGTCCATGAGACGGAGTTATGAGGAATCTGGCTTTATACCAACGCGTTATTTTTCCGACATATTTGACGTGACTCTCCAAACCATTAGAAACCATTTACATTACATGGGCTTACATCACAGGCGTTATGCAAAGAAAATTTATATGACTGACGCTCATAGAATGGCCAGATTAAATTTCGCCATAGAATATTTGGATTTTGATTGGAGTAACACTGTTTTCTATGACGAGAAATCTTTTAAATCTAGTCAACACGGGTGTCTACACCTTTGGCGATTCAATAAAACGCGATACACGCAAAATCATGTCGTGCCAAATAGAGAATCGGGTCGTATCTCGGTAAATTTGTATGGATGGATGACTGCTGATGGTGTTGGAGACTTGACCTTTTTGCCACCACGAGCAACGGCATCAGATTATGTTGAAGTTCTCCAAAATGCTATGTTGCCATCTGTCCGGAACGTTTATCCAGAAAATGAAATGCGTCAATTTAATTATTTACAGGATAACTGTCCCTTACATAAAGCAAGGGTAACACGTGCTTGGTTTGATGCACATCCGGAAATAAACTTGATACCATGACCTGAAAAATCGCCAGATCTCAACCCTATTGAAAATATGTGGGGTCTTATGGTTCAGAGATGGTGTAACCGTAGTGAACGAACAGCAGAAGCACTACAAGGGCACTGCAATGAGGTTTGGGAGGAAACACGTGGGTCTGATATCTGCTCAAGACTGGTGGGCTCGATGAGGGAACGTCTCCAAGTTGTTATATAATTATAAAAGAATTGTATATATTTTTTAACAACCAAAGAATTAGTAATTTCTCTATCTCTTCTAGTTTTAGCCCTTGTCTCGCACTAAGCTATGGGTCAGCGCAATATGTTTTTCGTCGCTATTCATTTCTGTTATCCGTTATCTCAGTATATTCAAACCTATAACACGCATAGTTTCTTACGCATAGCATTTCACTACCTACTGATTTTTTAAATTTATATTAAAATATAATTAATCTACATTCTAATGTAGGATATTTGTAGACTATAAGACTTTGTTTACGATATTCTAACTCTAAAGTATTTAAACATACAAATAGACAGACAGAAAAAAAAATATTTTTGGCTTCTTTTAGTCTTATGAAGGCCGTCCATATATTTTTTTTCCAAAATATCTTACAAATATAACCTTGTTACATTTTTATTATAGGTATAGATAATTACTGTCAAAGGTTACGTCAAAATGATGAAGATAGCAATAGTGACGTGTACTTGACGTGTCAAAAAATTAATGCTACGGAAAATCAACCTCGTTGTTAGTTGACGTAACACGCGAAATTCAACCTTAGGGTGGTAGACCACTTACTTGGCCGATTGTACCCTCACTTTTGGGGGAAGGACGTAAAGATGTGCATTCCAGCAGCGATTGTTCCATACCCATCCTGCGAATTCCTCACAACTGTTTCGTGTGATTGGATCTGGCCTTCGAATAACCGTAATAACTACTGCTAAACATACAAAAAATGAACTCCTTACAATAAATGCAAATCTTGTTATACTTGGCCATGATGTAACCTATGCTGACGTAGGTGACGGCACACACCATCCCCATGATGACAGATACTGGGTACAACAAAGCGTGGATCTTGGTTCGTTGACAAGCTGCTGTCTTTGTTTCCTGGGAAATGTAATAAAAATTACGATCGGTGCTTTGAGTTTTTACAAACCACTATTATATGGCGTTGCCGTAAGGAGATATATCACCAGCCCTTTTACGTTCCCACTGCAGGGACTCAGACCTTCCTTATGGATGGTTAAAGAGGATAGGCCATGACCCTCCACCCTGGTCCAATGCGGATTGGAGGGTATTAACGACTGCAAATGCAGCCGGGACCAACGGCTTAACGTGCCTTCCGAAGCACGGAGTAGCTCGAGATAATAATTTTTTGGTCACCCATCCCGTGACCGACCCTTGCGAAAGTTGCTTAACGACAACGATCGCGGGCCGCGGCGTTTGTCCACTACGCCACCGAGCTCACGCAAACGTAAGGAGATATAACATTGTCCATAAAATTCACCTCTTTTATCTTAGAAACATTAGAAGCTTCATTGATAGCGTAGTTTCTTGTACATTAAAGAATAGCAATATATATACTCACTTCTTTCTCATTCATGATCGTGCACATATTGACTGGCGTTCCAATTTTAAACAGCATCTCGTTTAGCATTATAGGCATCCAAGTGTACATGCCACTTGATCTAAAAGCAATCAATCGAGTGGCTAGCAACAACTGTTTGATACATTGTTCGATGACATTGAGTTATTAATTAAAGAGATCGCTCTATTTAGGTGATGTAATGATACACCTAGACAATCGATGAGTAGGCTTTACATTAAGACTGCCCTATCGATTACAATTAAGGCATTAGGTTGCCCAAGTCTATAACGATAATTATTATTGTAAAATGTTTTCCCAAGACTTCATCAACGTAAATTAAAGCCTATCTCACCTAAAGCCTATACGATGCAAACAAACTGGACTTCGATGCAATCTTTCCTCTTTCCAATATTAGTATATATGTATTGATTTCTTATATTTTCCCGAGCACTAACAACTTTTAAAAGGTTCCATTACTTTTGTATTTAGTTTTATTGACGTTTTGGACCCTTGACTGGTTCTTTTTACGTGTTGACATAAGACTTAAGACTCTTATGCGAACAAGTCAATAAAACTAAGTTCAGTTTAAAAGTTGTTTAAATATTAGTATACCTAGACAATATCCGCACTTAGAACCTGCAAGACATTTGGACCTTTATTCCGTTAACGTTGACATACGTCGTCGACATCTCAATTAATTACCTTTTTTCCATTAAGCTATCTATTCGATAGCAAACATTATAAAAGCGACTTTTTTTTAAATATCATTCATATAAATAGGATGTCTACTTCAGATATCAATGATGATAAATTGTTATTTCATGATCTACTTACAAGAGCTGTGAAAAAAGTATTATTTAAAAGCGTTTAAGCGTCATTGTTCCGCCATAATTACGCTAATTTTATTGAAATTAGGCAATGCTTACGACTGTTCACCAATGTAAGTGCACAAGCGTTAACATACCTCACACCCACCTAGGCAGTACAGTTAAACATCTCCTGAGAAGACTTCGTGGAGCGGTAGAAGCACATACAGAGCTGAGAATTTTGTTTACGCTAGTGCACGAGTGTTTATATGTGGATAGACTGGCGACATACAAATATCTTGCAGGCACTAAACAGAGTGTGGAAGTTGTTAAATATTATAATTTTACGATTGCATTAATGACCACCAAAAATCAAGTTAGATTCATTTATGTTTTAAAATTTGAACACTAAATAGTTCTTATTGATTTACATTCATAAGAACACATTTTACTAAATTAAGCAATAGATATGTACAATGGTGGAACTTTAATGACCCTAGATGCAGCCAGGACCTTTGACACAAATTATTGTACTATCCAAAGCACGGAGGAACAAAAGATGATAAATTTTCCCATCCATCCTTGTGAAAGTTGTTTAACTTCCGCAGACCTAATGTGCTACTACCACCGCGCTATCGAGCTCCTCACCGTGAAGTGCCTGACTTTATTCTTTATTGCCTCTGACTGAAATACTACAAGCAACCTTAACCAAATTAGAATGTGAATCGTAAACTTTGTACATCTCAAATTAATTATTATTACTCACAGTAAAAACACCATGAACATAGAGATATGCGATAAGAGGACGCACTTTATTAAAGGTGGACGCAACAGTAGTCTGATGTTGTGGAATGCGCTGCAAAAACCACGTTGAGCTGTTGGTGTTGGTGACATATGTGATATGGACCGTACCTTCGCAGGAAAAATATCATAACTTAGGTTAGATGTTGTGTGGGGACTATGACTCAGACGTCTCTGAGTCATATTCCCAATCTGCAGAGGGACCAACCAACAAGGGCAGAAATGGGGGCGAACAGCGCGGAAAGCGCTCTTTGGGCTGGCCCCGTATTTTGCCTCCATGGCCAGGTATATCGCTAAGTTTAAGTGGGTATGGGTACTATTTGATTCTAGCTTGGTCTGCAGGAGAGTCCCACATAACCCCGGCGGGTTACTACTACCCCATACTAGAGGGGAGCGGGTACGCGTAATGCATTTCCTACTGTTAAAAAGAGTTTGAAGTTATGGTGTAACCGATATAAATTCAATGATATTCTTGGCATTCAGAGATTTCATCTCTTCTGAGTTGATTAAATATTCGTTATACGTTTGTGATTCGCGATCCTCATTTAGATTTGAGATTAATTATATCATTATAGGACCTAAACTTGAACCAGTAAATAAAAAGACTACTGAGGTTATATATATGTTTAAATAGGATAGAGCTAGGAATTCGCATAACGTATTCTTATAAAGTAAAAAATATGCAGTTTTCTTTTATGCTGACACTCTGATTTCGATATACATACTAACAGGAAACTCTTCCTTTTTCTTCTTAGTGTTCCATGCATATATTTTAGCAAGCACTGGAATGGTACTGTCCTGACCATATGCAGAGAACAAGAATCTGGGACTCTCCGGCAAGATGACCAGTATGATTGCCGCCACGATGCCAGGAATACACCAAGACCACATGAACACTCGCCAGGGTACCACTTTCACTTTGGCCAAATGAAATGACCACGTTCCAGCCATTATTACCCAAGCTAACACTAGAACAATTTTGAAATTCTTGTGAAATCAATAGAAAATAATAATGTCACCTTTAGAGACTGATCAGAATTATTTTTAGTCCCGATGAAGATTCCTGACACAACTGATATGCATTTTGATTGAATTATGATGGGTAGGTATAGTTAATTTTTTAAATTCTGATCGCTAAGATTGTATTAGAAGTGCCAAATGAAACTACAATACTGACATGTTATGTGATATGCAATTTAAAATGAAACCAACGGAGTCAATCTATATCCGAGTTTCTGTTCGCGATTTGCATAAATTCAAAAAATTACTTTATATTTTAGTAGGCACATTTAGAATAGAAAATATTTCTCAGATATTTTCTGACGCTTCGTTGTTTTAGTAGCGAACTAGAATTTTAAATAACACAATGGTATTTTATTTAAATACCTGAAAAGCTGTAGTACCTAATATTACTTTTATTTCAAACATCGCATAGTTAATTTGCATTTATGAGTCAACAAAAAGCATTAGCCCAAATGAAATCGTAATTAATATCAAGATTGCAAAATAAATATGTTGAAAAATTTTAACTACTAAATACTAACACGGCACAGCGACAAATGTAAATGATATAAACGAAGAAGAAAATGCAATTGCTCTGGAACGACGTTCGTTAGAATGCATCTCACCAAGATATGCATACACGGTTGCACTAGACGCAGAAACCCTGTAATGTTTATAAACAAGAAAATAATAATGTTATTGAACAAAGAGCAAACCAGGTTTTTTTTGTACTCTAGATTACGCCTCATAATATATTATAGCATCAACTGTGAGCTCTGATTTTGCTCTAAAAAAACTAAAAGGCGTTTTAATAAAAAGGTCTCAAATATATTTATTTACATTTGACGAAAAAGATACGGGAGGGAAAAATAGATATAATTTAAGAATATTAAGAAAAAATATGAATGACGCCATTTTAATATAGCCTTCACGTAATCAATTTACACGTAACTTTTGAATATTAAATAAAACGAATTTTAGATGATACTCACAAACATCCAGTGAAAAACCTGAGGCAGAACAGACACAAAAAGTTAGTGGCGAACGAGGACGCAAATGAAGCGATGCAACTTGAAGCAATAGCTGGCAGCATGATCGCTCGTCTGCCGTACTGGTCACTGAGGTAGCCCCAGAATATTGCGGTTGACACTATACCTGTATCATGATAAATAATAATGAGATATTAGATTGTAAGAGGGAGAAGCAAATCTTAAACAATCAAAAACTCATTGGTATTTGTTAGGGAATAAGAATTTGTGGCACATCTGTTTAATAATCTTTGTCGTCCACTCTGTGGCAACGTAATCTGTGACATTTGTAATATAAACAAAAATGCATTTGTAAGTTGTCATTAAACATTAAAACGGTTTGAAAGAAAACTCATAACTGTGAACACGTTTATTTATTTTACCGATCCTACGTATGAATAGAGTCAGATAGGCAACTTACCAATAAGTTAAATAACACTCTATATACCAATAAATAAATACCCAAAATATGGTAAAGTGGTGATCCCATAAAATATACGGTAAAAATTCATTAATTTTTTTTAGCAACAGTATCTAGCGCATTCTACGTTCCATTAAAATAATCTACCCAATGTCCTTTTCAATAATTTTTTAAGATATTACATTTTTTTTCTCACCGATTATTTTGGTTCTAATATATGAGATCTATTATAGGAAAAAACAATAACTAATTACCAATGAAAGCAGCAGCATTAGCCATACCCTTCTCCGTGCTGGACAGCTTCAGGTCACATTCAGCCGCCGCCATCACGTACCCTATACCCAACGACTCCACATTCGTGTACATCAACACCAGTCCACATGTCGCCAATACGACGTAATTGAACACCCCATGACCTGATTGAATATTTGTATTAATCTATTAGTCAAATCTGACGGTAGCTCTCTACGAATTATTAAAAGACTGCTAGTACCCGAGTTATTATTTTTTATTGTATAAATCAAAGATAAAGTTATCTTGAAGAATGTTATATTTTAGCATGTCAAGTTCATATGAGGATAATGATATTCATAATCCATGAAAACATTTTTTTTAGAATATAAATCTATACAGATCTATCTATAGTTTCAATATACACGTATTTTATTAGAGCTCACATTTCTGTATCTTTAGTATAAGTTAATAAATAAATGTGGTCTGCCAGGAGGCGCAATCAGTTAGTTGCACCAAGCTGCCGATGTACAAAAAAAATGCAGTGTTATTTATTTGACCGAGTTCTGCTTCAAACTATGATTGTGGTTGCAAAATTTACGAGGTGTTCCAAGTGGTTCCAATTTACGAGGTGACCCAAGACTGTTCCTTTCAAACTACGAGTCACTTACCACATACACTATTAGACTATTATGTGCTAAGCAAGGATGATAAATGTTTACCAGTTTGTTCAAAAGCTTCTTCGAAAGACACCATGGAATTTTGACAAAATTAAAATGACACACATTCTGACACATATCTAGCATGATGTGGTTTTTCTTTATGGTTTTTGTTTCTATGGGTCTATTAGAAGACGTTAGAAGTCTCTGAAGGTTTAACAAAGAAGTAAGTTACACACTAAGTTATTATTAAACTGTGGAAAATGTGAGAATTGACTTTATTTTGCCTGTATGCTGGGTGTTGTTTGGTCTAAATTAATTTATTTATAACGTCATCTATATTTTTGTCTTATTACAATAAAATTACCGACCGTTCTTTTTTCCCAGGACATGAACCCTTATAGTAATTTAGGGTGTTCTAGATAGTTTTGAAGTAACGTACTGGGTTTTTCAAGCACCATCCTGGTTTCTACAGGCAGTTTGTTATTGTCAGATAATTCACGAATGTGTCCATTGTAGAGTTTTTATCTCGTTATCAAAAGGTAGAAAGAATTAGTTACCTACTTTAATGCTCAACTCTTAAGTTTCTGGGATATTAACTTGTCACCTTATGTATGTATTTTTTGAAATTCGGGATTGGCATCACTTAAATTTTTACGCCAGAATCTCTTATAATATTTAAAATTCTTGGTGAGCCACCAAATAAACCCATTATGGCGTCCACTGTGCCGGTATAATCAAAGTAATACTCCCCATTGATTTCTTATATGTTCACATGACCTATCCTAAATAGAGATGAAGGTTGGAATATACCACGGGCTTGGGATTCAGTAATTAGTCAAATAAAATCTCAATTCAGATCACACGTTGTAAAACCAAAAGATACAGTTCACTCTGTAAATATTATATCAAAGGTAACATTTCACTTTTTCTTGTCGGAGTTTGTTTTGCCAATTCTTCTCAGAAAAGACTGCAACTGGTGGTGGATTACGGTAGCCAGGAATAAACAAATGAGTCAAATATATATTTTTAAAATAATTTAATTTAATAAATGTAGACGTTGCCATAATATCTGTTTGTTTTTTTGTATAGTGGATATGTCCAATAGTATTGGTTTTTGAAGGTAGTTATATATTAGTAAGGGTCTGAAACGTTAATAAAACTAAAAATCAACGTATTGAAACAATGAAAAAAGTTGTTTCATTATATGCTACCCATTTAGAATGTCTTTTACCGATTTAAAACATTTACATAAATTAAAAATCGCTACAATACTGATAATAGGAGTGTTTGTTTGTAGATAGTTAATATGTATTCTATAATATATTATTGTTGATGTTGACCACAAATTTCTTTAAAGTAATTAGTCAATTAATATATAGAATTTGCAGGGAAACGTCAAGCACGGGATAACACTAGTTGTTGCTAGGATTATAGCTGGTTAAAAGTTAAGATTCTCTCCCCCCCCCGCAGACTTCACTTTCTACAATAAATAAATTGGTATTTTTGCGCATAGCTTACTTTTGTGCCGGGCACTGTACCAGGTTTAAACAATTATCCGACCAAAATAAGTCGACATGACTCAATTTGACGGTTTCTCTTCTGTCGTTAATTTGTTCCTAAAAATTTAATTGGAACATAAATACATCTTTGTAGATCTATGAATTTAGGAGCAAAAAGACAATGCTCTTTGCGATTGGCAATGCCGAATTGGATCGTAAAATTAAGATATTACTTAAGAAGAAAAATTTTGTATTGCCAATTATGCGTGGAAAAACATTATTTATATTGAAAAATAGAATAGAATAGAATTCGATATATTTTAATTGGTGATGCATGATAACTTCTATGGCGCAGTGGTTAGGGCGTTCGATCTGCTTTGATAACATTAAGTAACATTCGCACAGGCCAGTTATAGAATGGGTGACCAGAAATTTACTCTAGCTCCTTCACACTTCGAGAGTTACGTTCAGGTATTGGTTATATCTGCATTAAACAACCACTAATCCGCATCTGTGTGATTGGTTCTAGTTGTCCTTACTCCCTATTTGGTTCTATTCATAGAGAAGGTCTATGCGCAGTCAATGAAGACATTAATAAGTCGATGATGATGACTTGAGTTGCCGGAGTCACTTCCATGGCATCATACGGAGCTAATATAGCTTTTAATAAGAGGATCCAGTGGAGGTCAGTCCTTAGAGGTAATTTCTTGTCGTCAAGAGCCTGCTCTTCTTACGTCAGTTAAACAGTAAATCTACAAATGGTTAATAGAAACTTCCTGTGACTAATTAATTGACTACTTATTAGTCCAAATTGTGGATTCATAGATAAATAGGTACATACTTTCTAGGCCCATCCGGGACTTATTAGGAAAGTTTGTGACTTCCGCTTTAAATATAGGTAGGTTAGATTTTATTGAGCTAAATAATGCTGATATCATATAGTTTCGACTTTTTTCAATGGGTAATCCAAATTATAAATGATTTTTTTTTATTTATATTTGATAATAAAGATTATTGTTAATAAAGTATCTTATGAAAAATTGAATGTTTGTTTTGCACCGAATCTGCTGATACTGATTGATTTTAAAAATCCTTTCACTTACGCTATAATTTATACAGAATAAAAAGTAGCTAGTATCACTATCACTACATAGTATAAAATAAAGTCGCTTTCGTCGTTTTTTTCGTATGCTTAAATCTTTAAAACTACGCAACGGATCTTGATGCGGTTTTTTTTTATAGATAGGGTGATTCAAAAGAAAGGTTTTTATGTATAATAATAATACAACACCACTCGGGCGAAGCTGCTGGTGGAAAGCTAGTAACTTATATACAAATGGTGGTGAATACATAAATTTTAGACGATGAAAAACAATCAAAGAAGGCTTAAAAAGAAGATAAAATCTCGCGTATTTTTAACAGATTTCAAAATTAAAGGTATCATTCATTCAAGATCTTTCAAAAAAACGCTGCAAAAATATACGGTACACTGTGGAGGAGTACACATCGAAAAAAAGTCTTATAAACATCCATGGTAACAAATATGGTAACTCTAATGTCGATTAATACGCAAGTAAGAATCGTTCTTTGGAAACAATAACAAGTTCTTCCGTTCTGAAAAACAATTTTGGTTTTGCGGGTTATTATGTGTTTGCTTTCTAGCGTCGATATATTCATTTCAACTCGATCCATTTGGACAGAATCAGCTGCGACAGCTCTGTCTGTCGGACAGACGGACACATACAAGCGAGTGATTCTTCATGGTGTATTTACACTGGTCGGTCATATCACGTGCATCCTTAAAATGCTGCGTGTGGGCGATTTATGTTCATCGCTTTCATTGACCGGTCATTTTGCTATTTTAACATTAATTTAACGCTTTAATGATATTGAAGTAGCATAATTTGACAGTTTGATATTACACGATGACCCGACTGTACCTGTTTTACATAAAAGAGATTTCCTTATGACCCAATTATTTCGGTTAACATACCATAATACATTCAGAAGTTTGGTGTACGAGCACCAGTGGCATAACTATACCGTTCGACGCCCGTGTGAGGATATTCATTTTTTTTTAACTTATTGCGTAATAATAAATGTCAGGAGTAAGGAGTCTCCTTTGATCGGGGGCCCTTTCCAGCTGGGATTGTTACAGAATCTCTTGGTATTAAGACCGCCAATTATATTTTAAATGCAATAAAGAATAAATAAACAAATGAACGCTAATTTTATTAAAAATTTTATCGTTTTTTTTTTACTTCAGTTAACTGCACCGGTGTTGAAGAAACTAATTATTCATTTCTCTTGATACCTGCCCGTCACCGTTACGGGTACTTTGTTATAGTTAACAAAAGATTTTTTTTTTAAACCGGTCTTAAATTCATAGTTACTGTTTGTATATATTGAGAGTTGATATTACCTGGTTCTTATATCAATACGTATTCTTATATCAATTTGCCGTGGGGTGCCGGCCTAAGTGTAGCACCCCCCCATATCCTCCCGTGGGTGTCGTAGGAGCCGACAGAGGGATTATACGGAAGGCGGGCAGCAGCGCCTCCCGGTATCATCTACCACCACCTACTGCGATCCCCAAGTCGCCTGCCAAGCGTGGGGATTATGGCAACCCCCCCCCCCTCATGATGGACGACAATGATATACGGCCCCCAGTCCCCGGCAGCCCCTCTATTCCTGTCTCTGGTAGCGGGACAGGTAACGGAGGGGCAGGGGGTGCTAAGAATCTCCGGCAGATTAGGCGCTACTAACACAAACGGACTCTGGCCCTGGCAACATACAATGTCCGCACACTGAGGACTGACGTGAAGCTATTAGAGCTGGAGGAAGAATTGAGCAAGTTGCGATGGGACATAGTGGGATTATCCGAAATCCGAAGAGAGGGCCAGGATACGGTAATCCTTGAGTCCGGTAACATGCTCTTCTTCCGGGAAGGAGATCAAAAATCTCAAGGTGGTGTTGGGTTTCTCGTTCACAAGTCCCTCGTGAACAACGTGGTGAAGATCGATAGTGTGTCGAGCAGAGTGGCGTACCTTATACTCAGAATTACCGAAAGGTATTCGCTGAAGGTCATACAGGTTTACGCCCCGACCTCTTCACACTCCGACGATGAGGTAGAGGCTATGTATGAGGAGATTTCTGAAGCCATACATACGACTAATACCTATTTCACCGTTGTAATGGGGGACTTTAACGCGAAGCTGGGCGCTTCGAACGGCGATGAGTTGAGGGTGGGTCGATTTGAGTATGGGCGGCGCAACCACCAGGGCCAGAAGCTGGTCAATTTCATGGAGAAGGAGGGACTCTTTGCGATGAACTCCTTCTTCCAGAAGAGACCCTCCAGGAAGTGGACCTGGATGAGCCCTGATGGTTCGACAAAAAATGAGATCGACTTCATCATGACCACCAGAAAGCACATATTCAATGATGTCTCCGTGATTAGCAGGGTGAAAACCGGTAGCGATCACCGAATCGTTAGAGGCACATTGAATATCAATGTTAAGCTCGAAAGGTCACGTCTGATGAAGTCTACGCACCGTCCAAGTGCTGCTCATATCATGGACCCCGAAGCCTTCCAACT